CTCTGCCTGGAGGGGATGGGAGAGGCCATAGCGGCGAGGAATGTGCCCAAGGTGCGCGACTGCGGCGTGACGGTTCAGACGGTTCAGGCGGTAGCGGGATGGGGGGGGGGGGTCCCGAGGCGTGCCAGGTAGTGGGGTGGGGTAGGGCCAGGTAGTGGGGTGGGGTAGGGCCAGGTAGTGGGGTGGGGTAGGGCCAGGTAGTGGGGTGGGGTAGGGCCAGGTAGTGGGGTGGGGTAGGGCCAGGTAGTGGGGTGGGGTAGGGCCAGGTAGTGGGGTGGGGTAGGGCCAGGTAGTGGGGTGGGGTAGGGCCAGGTAGTGGGGTGGGGTAGGGCCAGGTAGTGGGGTGGGGTAGGGCCAGGTAGGGGGGGTGGGGTAGGGCCAGGTAGTGGGGTGGGGTAGGGCCAGGTAGTGGGGTGGGGTAGGGCCAGGTAGTGGGGTGGGGTAGGGCCAGGTAGTGGGGTGGGGTAGGGCCAGGTAGGGGGGGTGGGGGGGTGACCGGGGCGATCAGAACGCGACTGGAATCGACGGCTGCCCCCTCCCCCCCCAAGCCCCCTTGTGCCTATGTACCCTGTACGGTCTGCAATTGTAACTCGCACTGCTGCTGCCATTGCTGCTACTGCTCCAGGTAATGATGCTCAACGGCAGCCATGATCGAGAGACCTCGTGTTGCGGCGCCCACGACGGACCTATGACGGCGGCGGATATGGTGCAGGCGGTGAGGTGGTCGGGGGGGGGGGGGGACCAGGTATGGTTGGGGCAGGGAGGAGGGGGAGGCGGTGCCAGGGGGGGGGGAAAGGGATGTCGGAGAGCCGGAGGGGACGGGGGACCAACCAAGCACAGGAACTAATTCCAACCACACCGTTTGGCCGTTTGACAAGGGGTATTTTTCTGCCTGCCTGGGGCCACGTACAGGCATGCGACGCGCTCAACCGCCGCCGTACACGTCGTCCTGGCGGCAGGCTGCGTCACCCGCCAAACGCCTACATCACCGGCTTGCTCGTCCCACGTGGCGGCGCCATCCGCGTGGATCCCGCCGCACTGGCGCTACTTGGTGTACGGCACATACTGGAGGTGGATTCGTACATGGACGATCAGGGTCGTGCCAATTTCGAGCCCGGAGCGCTCGTGGCGCGTGTGGATGAGATCCTGAGGTTGCACTGGGAAACAGCGGCTGCGGAGGCCGCCGCTGCGGTGGCGGGTACTGCTGGCGGCAGCGGCAGCGGCAGCAGCAGCGGCGGCGGCCCTAGGTCCAGTGTGCAACTTAGTACGAACGGACCGTCGCAGCATCAGCATCAGCATCAGCAGCCATTGGAGGTTATCGTAGCTGGGTTTGTGGCGGAGGACGGGGCGGAGGACGAGCAGGTGGCCCTGGCGGCGGGTGGCCCTGAGGGGGGGGAGAGTTGGCAGGGCAGCGGGCGCGGGTGCGGGTGAAGATGGCCGCACTCGGGATTAGGGGGGCCACTGGCGGCATCTGGCAGCTTGGCGAGGGAGGCCTCTGCCGTTGTTGACGCTACCCGGCAAGCCTGAAGAGGGAGAAGGCGGCTGGAAGAGAGCACCGTTGGGGAGCAGGATGCGAGGGATGGGGCGGATGCACGAAGAATTGCTAAAACTGCTTATGCTACTATTAGCGCTGCTGCTGCCCCCCCCCCTCTCCTCCTCCCCACCCACCCCACCACTCGTTCGTTGTTCGTCTTTCCCCACCCCACCAGAAGAGAGGAGAGGAGAGGGCCCCAATGGGGTGGTGGTGGGGAATTTAAAGGGGGGGAGGAGCCTGAGGGGGGACGGGTTGGAAGGGGAGGGCGATAGGGTCGTGACTCGTTCGTTTTGTTTTGCATTACTCCTGTTGCTGCGGCGATGGCGGTTTTGTTGCGGCGGCAGCGACGGAGGCGGATAGCGTTGCTGGACTACCGGGTTGAAGGGTGCTAGAGCCGCGAGATCACGCGCGCTAGCGGGCCGTAGCGGCCTGCTCCCCTTCGCAGCCTGTCCTTCATCCTGTGCGAGTCCAATGGTTCTGCGGTTTGTTATGTTTATGCCATTGCATGCCATTGTGTTAAAGGCATCGAGGACAGGAGCATTTTTCAATTGTTAGCATCAGTCCAAAAGGCAGCTGAAGAAGACGCGTGCGGGCTTCATTTCTTATATACCCCCTTCCCGAGCTGTTGGGTGTGGAACGGAGGTGCAGCAGCCGTATCGGGGGAAAATCGAGTCCGGAGTCAACCAGGCATGTTTTGAGGCGGGGAGAGGGGCCGCACCCTGCGCTCAGGCTCTCTCTCCTCCTCTCTCTCTCCCTTCCCCTCCACACACACACACACACACTCTCTCTCCCCCTCCCGCCACACACACACACTCTCTCTCTCTCTCTTAGACACGCGCGTAGGAGCGGCTGTAAGCGCGCGAGCGAGCGATGCGCGCGAGCGATCGCACCACGGCATATGTCAAAAAAGAAAAGCACGTTTGTAAATCTTTGTTTAACTTGGGCTTCACAGCCTCCGCACCCTGGGCACTCTTCCGGGGTCGGGACTCTCTCTTTTCCTCTCCCCCTCTTCTTAACGCCTCACCCTCACCCTCACCCTCACCGGCGCCATCTCTACACTGACAATGCGGCTACACGCCGACACAGCCACAGGTACTTGTGTCACTAGTAGACAGACAAGCTTTCTTTCACTCATGAGCAGGTGTACCGGTAGGTGTACGGAAATGTACACCTGCCCGTAATTGTCGCTGATGCATGTCTTGTGCGTTAATGACTGTGCCAAACTCGGAATGCGCACGTCCGGAAACAAACCCCCTCGAAGCTTCGGGAAGCCGGAGGGAGGCGGAGGAGGCAAGTATCCACATTCCACCAGTCACCCCCATGCGGGCCAGGCCAATGCCGGGGAAAGCGGATCCGGTCACCAGTTCCGCACACGGCGACGTTGCTGCTGCTGCTGCTGCTGCTGCTGCGGTGGCGATGTCCGGGGGCTTGAGACGCCCTCACCGCCGCCGGCCCCCTGCGGCGCCCCTCCCCCTCCCCCTCCCCCCCCTTGCCCTTGCCCTTGCCTAGGTCCCCCNCCTCCNGATGAGCCTCCTGACCCCCCCNCAGCANCACCAGGGGTCACGGCACCGGTGCTCCTACTGCTACTGCTGCTACTGCCCTTGCCGCCTGTAGCCGCAGCAGCAGCGGTGGTGCCGGCCGCGGCCGCCGTCACCACCTCCCAACCCCCCGACCCCTCCACCAAATCCGCCAAGTACCCAGCCGCCGCCTCCTCGGCATCCGTCGCCGCCCCAAGGCTTGGTGCCCTAGCGGCAGTAGCAGTAGCAGTGGCAGCTGCCGAAGCTCCCCCTCGCTGCCCTTGCTGCTGCCCTTGCTGCTGCTGAGACTGCTCCTCGGTCTGTCCTTGCGCCTGCTGCCGGGTCTCATGTTGTCCGGACCGTAGGGCCCAGGTGTACTCTTCCACCAGGGCATCAAGATCCCCCAAATCATCATCTTGATCATCCAACTCCCAACCACCACCACCACCACCACTATCACCACCACTATCACCGCCGCCGCCACCGCTGCTCACTCCTGCCTGAAGCATACCGTTACCGTTGTTGCTCGGGCCGTTACCGTTGTCGTCACTCAGCCGCCGCATACGAGCGTTCAGTGCCGCCTCGCCGTCCTCTAAAATGGCCATCAGTGCCGCCAACTCGGGATCCTCGTCATCCGCATCGCTGCCTCCCGCTCCCCCCACAGGGCCGCCAGTCCTGTTATCTGCCGCCGCCGCCCGACCCGCCGCCCGAGCCCGGCCCGACTTGGGCGCCTTCCTCACAGCTCCTTGCGGTGGTTGTGGTGGTTGTTGCGTGCGTGGGTTGTTGGCGGAGACGTCCAGAATATCGTCCAGTGCAGCCAGTGCGGCATCGTACAAGGCCTCTTCCTGAAGTGCCGTACACACACATACACAGGAGAGGATGCACCAGGATGTGCGTGGTGCTGGGTGAAACGAATTCAGCTTTTTCCGAGCGCGAGCAGCCACGGCGGAGATGTGCTTGGCGGCGGTGGGGCCGCGGGGGAATGGGGGCCCCATGGGTACCCTAATGTTTTCCTTTCCTTTAAGTGGAAAGTGGAAAGGAAAATATTTTAACTAATGACTTATGTGAAATAGTTGAGTGAAAGCGGTGGTCTCAGGTGGTCCGGCACTTTGTGCCACGCGCAGTCCCCACACGGCAGCTCCACTACTGGTGGCGGAGGAGGCGGGGGAGGGGGAGGAGGGGGAGGGGGAGGGGGAGGGAAGCTGCAGCCCAAGTGAAGTCAAACGGCTCCTCCACCCAGGTGGGCCCCAGGTGACACCCCCCTGTCACCCCCCCCCAATATGTGTCCGGGTGGCCACCAATCCCCCCCCGGCAGTGGCCCCCGGAAGGTAGGCTCCGAAACCACACGGCCCCCCACCCACACATCCACAAATCCGTACCCCCATGCCCAACCCTTTCACCTCCCAGACACACACAGGCACACATACACACGCGGCTCTTACCCGTTGCTGCTGCAGCGCCATCCCCATCACCTCCTGCCTCTGCTGCGCCGCCAGGTCCTCCACCAGCGCCTCCAACCCCTCACCTCCCCCCAACCCCCCCACCAGGTCGCTACTGAGGGAAAGAAATGGAGCTAGCGGGTCCACAGGAGGAGGTGGAGGTGGAGGTGGCGATGCAGCAGCAGGTGCGGCGGCAGTAGCCGCAACAAGGGCCGCGGGGCCCCGTGTCGCCTCCGGTGGCGGCGATGATGGCGGTGTAGTCGCCGCAGCTGCAGCGGCGGCCTTCGGGCCCCCGATGGCCTGTGCCGACACCGCCCCTGCCCCCGGGTCGCTCCTCATGCGGTTCGCCGCCTCCCAAGCCTCCCAGATTTCCTCCTCCGTTGGGATGTCGGGCACCTCCCCGGGGTTGGCGGTGGCGGTGGCGGTGGGGTCAGGAGTGGGGCTGGGGGCGGGGTTAGGTGCGCTGGGGTTGTCCTGGGCCAGTATGGGCTGGGGGGGGGGAGCGGCTCGACCCAGACGTTTCCTGGCCTCCTTGACTTTCCGGATGCGGTCACGGGCCAGGGTGTAGACCTGGACGGGAGATGGGAGGTACGGCGGTTGGGATAGAAGTTGGAGGGAGGGTGAGGGCTGGCTGGCTCTGGGAGGGGATATCCCGGCCGGGGGAAACTACAGAGGAGGGGACATTAAGCAGGAAGAGCTTTGGGAGCCAAGCGAAGCATGCAGACATACACATACACATGCACCTATACATACATACATACATACATATACAAGCACAGGTGTGATTTGTGTGTCCCACCACTCCCCCTTCACCTGCAGCAGCGCCTCTGCTCTCGCCCGAGTGAGGTCGCCGTGGAGGGCCTCCACTGCCCGGTGCAGAGACTTGAGCTTGCGGGTGAGAGTCCTGAAACCAGGGGGGGGCGACGTACGTACGTACGTACGTACGTATGTATGTATGATGTGTGAAACAGGGGGGTGTATCTTCGCCCGTGGCAGCTACCCTGCGAAACCCTGCCTTCCCCGGTATTTCGGGGCACCCTCATCCAGTCACCCTAGTCAACTTCTCAGTGGATCACTCAGGTTCAGCACCCACCACCAGCATCCAACGGAATCTGCCGGATCAACGGCGGCCCAACTCCATTCCTGGTCGGCTCGCAGGTTAACTTTATCCCAGGTCACCACCGTCCATCAACTAGGGGCGCAATGCCTTCCACCATCGGAAGGACTTTTGACCCTAACGGGTATCGATCCCGGGATCTCCTATGTATGTATGTATGCATGTACGTATATATGTATGTTTGTATGGTTACGACGACAACGACAAACAAGCGCACTCACTCTCTCAAGACCAGGCTCTAAGGCGAGAGGCACTCATCCGTACACGTCAAGTCACCCATGTAATCCTCCCTACGCCAATACCAATCCCTCCCTCGACTCCCATTTTCCGGACATCCTCCCCTCTCTTCCCCCGCCCCTTTCCCGCCCCCCCCCACTCGCGCGTATAAGCCTCCCCCCCTCTTACTTGACATCCCTGTCCGCCCCCCAGCTGGCCTTCTCCTCCGCTTCCAGCCGCCCCCGCAGCTCCTCCAGCTGCTCGATGGCGCTGTTGACGGAGGCCACACCGCTGTCCAGCCGACTGCGAGCTGAGGCCACCAGCGACTCTTCCAAACCCAGACTGCGGAGGGAAACACACAGGCCCAACCACCCACCCGCCAACCAACCACCAGTACATTCAGGAGTTCGTGGTTGATGATTCAGTTGGAATGAAGGAGGAACCCCTCCCTCCCCTCCACCCTTCCTTCCACCCTCCCCTCCACCCTCCCCTCGCCTCTCCATTCCCCCTTCTCTCCGCCCTCCCCACACCCCTCCTCTCCTCACCGCGCCGCAATGTTGAGGGCGTTGCTCCGCCCGGGTATTCCCCACAGCAACTTGTACGTGGGGGCCAGAGCCGCCTCGTCGAACTCAACACTCGCATTTTCGAACCGCGGGTCATCAAATTTGAGTCCCGTCATGACGCTGTGGTGGGTGGTGGCCACCGTCAAAGCTCCGGAGCCCACACCGCCTGGAAGGGTGTGTGGTGGAGGGGTGTATGGAAGGGTGTGTGGAGGGGTATTTTCCCCCAAACCCTGCCCCCAACCCTCCCCACTGTAAGCCCGACACACACACACACACACACCTCCAAGCCCACCCACTCACCCCTGACCAGCCTCTTCAGCAGCGCCACCCCCAGCGCCGCCCCCTCCAACGGGTCGGTGCCCGTACCTAGCTCGTCCAGCAGCAGCAGGGACTTGCCGTCCGCCTCAGCACGTAGCGCCTGAGGGGGCCCGGGTAAGGGGGGGAAGGCGAACCACGAACGAGTGAAGCTGCTGGAAAAGGGGGGGAGGGATAACGAGGTGTGCTGTGTTTTTGGAGAGGTGGATTCGGAGGGGAGGGGATGGGGGGAGTAGGAGGGCCCAAAACACACCCACAACACACATACACACGCTCTCTCACACCCTCACTCACTCTACCTGTATCCGCCTCAAATGGCCGCTGAAGGTGGACAAGTTGGCCGTCAGCGACTGCTCGTCGCCAATGTCCGCCAGTACGGCAGAGAACGCGGGCATTCGCGCGGGCGCCTCCGCCGGCAGCGGCAGCCCCGCCTTGGTCATGCACGCCGCCAGCCCCAGCGCCTTCATGGCCGCCGTCTTGCCCCCGGTGTTGGGCCCCGTGATCACCACCACGGAGGTGTCCGGTCGGACCACCCAGTCTATCGGCCGGGGGGCCTGCAGAGCAGCTAGTGCCGCCTGGGGGCACGGGGGGGGGTTGCGGGTGAGGGGGTGTGTGTGAGGGGGCAGCGAGGGCACTGTCAGGCTCAGGACGGGGGAGGGGGCCCCAGGGGAACCAAACCGGGAAGGCGGGGGCCAGCGGACGGGGTGGGGAGATGTGGGGGATGCAGTAGAGATGCATTGAAGTGTGCGCATGTGCGTGTGTGTTTTGGTGTGTGCGTGTGTGTTCCCCGCGCCGCCGCGGGCAGGAGGTGGCGAGGGGGCAGGGTGATGTGGGTGAGGTGGCTGCAGGGGCGGAGTGTCCCACATGACCACCATGGCTGGCTGGGCGCCGGAGGGCTCACCTGCGGTGTGTTGGCCTCCCCGCCCCCGCCCCCATCCCCGCCGTCGCCGTCATCACTGTCAGATGCGGATCCGGATCTCCGCAGCATCACCTCCTTCCGGGTTCCGAGCAGCCGCCTTCGCGAGCCGCTAAGTGACGAGGGCGATGAGGGGGAGGAGGCGAAAGTGGAGGTGGCGGCGGGTGCGGGGCTCATTCGTACGGCACGTTCCAGCGACTCTTTCTGGGTGAGGTACTCTCCGTACAGCAGCGGATGCCGAAGTCCGCGCAATCGTACGGCATACCGCTCCTCCGGGTCGCGCATCAAGCTGCCGTCGCCGTAGTCGCCTCCAGCCTGCGTGGTGTACGACACAGTATTGTGCGCACCACACGTTGTACGGCCATCCCGAGACAAAACTACAAAGCGCATTTTGGTAATAAAAAAGGCACTGCCTGACCAATTATAGTACTAAAGATTTTAGCAGTACCAGTAAAAGTAGCAAGTGTTCAGCAACAGCAGAAGCAGCAGTAGCCGGGGAGCCCGGGAGAGTGGGGCGGTTGTCCTTTCAGGCTGCCAGGTTTATATGGGTATTCAACGCGAATTATCATCGGACAGAAGCGGGCGTGGCGCAGTGGTTAGCGCGTAGGTCTCATATTCAATATGACTTGGGAAATCCTAAGGTCGAGGGTTCGACACCCTCCGCCCGCATAAGTGATCTAGCTTTTTGTTTATATGCACTACTGGCTGAGCACGCACCAATCCCCACGCGAGATTCAGGGATCGTGATCTGTCAGGGTCGAAAATCCCTCCGATAATGGAAGGTGAAGTGCCCCTAGTTGATGGACGGTGGTGACCTGAGATCAAGAATTTGCGAGCCGACCAGGAATGGAGTTGAGCCGCCGTTGATCCGGCAGATTCCGTTGGATGCTGGTGGTGGGTGCGGAACCTGAGCGATCCACTGAGAAGTTGACTTGGGTGACTGGATGAGGGTGCCCCGAAATACCCGCGGGGGGAGGCAGAGGGTCTGCCGGGTAGCGGCCGCAGGGTGAAGATATGACCCCCCTGTCCCACATGTCGTACATGGGCATGTGGTCGAGTAGACCCTTCAAAACCGTATATAAAATGACCCATAATGCCTTTCCAGCACCAGCACTAGCACGCCTGCCGTACCTCCTCTCCAGCCGGCCCCGCCTCCTCTTCCCGCGCCCGCCGCCGCATCGCAGCGCCGCCGCGCGCGTGAAACACCGTGTCCCACGGGACAACCTCCGGCAGCACACCCTGGATCCACATGCCGTACCGCGCCCGAGCTGATAGCACGTCCAGCCAGGCAACTACCTGTACGGCAATGGGCGTACCGCCTAAACCCTGTACGTATGTATGTATGTATGTATGTATGTATGTATGTATGTATGTATGTATGTATGTATGTATGTATGTATGTATGTATGTATGTTGTTACAGGGTGGTTAACTTCGCCAGCGGCCCCCTTTCCCGGGGCAGTCCCTGCTCTCCCCTGCTAGAGGGGCACCCTAATCCGTCACCCCATCCGACTTCAGAATGTATTCGTTGGGTTCGGCAACTCACCACCAGCATCCAACCAAATCTAGCGGATCAACGGCGCATCAACTTAGTTCCTGGTCAGCTCGCAAGTTGATATTATCACGTCCTACACCGTCCATATGATGGGGGGCCACCTCCCATTTCATCACTCCTCAAACACCCGAGGAGCCGGCAGGCGGATTTGAACCCGGGTCGACTGGGTCGACTGGGAGCAGAAGTCAGGCCTTAACCTCTGCCAGCCGCCTGCCTGTATGCATGGCTGCGACTGCGGGTTTCCCTTCCGTATCCTTTCCTGCTTCACGACGTCTTCGTGACGCAAAGACAAAGACACCCACATCCTCCGCACAGCACAGAATTCCCGAACAGCATACAATACATATTATATACATACATACATACATACATACATATACACATACATACATAAGTACCCACCCTGAACGTGTCTTCCAGCTCCTCCAGACTCCCCAGCACCAGCCCCGTCAGCTGCCACAGCACCGCCTCCTCTGCCGCCTGGGCCTCCGCCCTCGCTGCCCCCAGCTCGTTATTGAGGGGCACCACCCCCGGCGGCTCAATGTACTGCAGGAAGCCGCCGCCCGGGGAGGAGCCCAATAGCACACCGTTGGCAATCTTGGTGCCTGTGTGTGTGGGGGTGGTGGTGGTGGTGGTGGTGAGAGGGGGGTTGGGGGGTGAGGGGGGTGAGGGGGGGAACTTGATGTGATGGGGAAGATGGAACCAACCAACCAACCAACGAACCAACCAACGAACTAACTAACCAACCAGCCAACCAGTCTCAGGTGTCTTCCTCCCCTTCCTCCTCGCTCATCCCCCCTGAAGCCCCGCTACTTCCCACTAAACCCGCTCCCCCCAACCCCCACCCACTTGGATTCTCTCCCCCAGTCTCCCAGTAACCCCCCCCTCGGAGGCCCATTCCCCCCCCCACACACACGCACCTGCCGGCACTGCCACGCACATTCGTCCCCCTTTCTCCGACACCTCCCCTCCGTATCCCTTCAGTACGGCAGCTATTCGGGCCTGAATGGACTTGACCCGGGCCCTCAAACCTCGGAGCTGCTCCGAAGCCGAATCCTGGTGTGCGTGTGCGTGTGTGTGGGGGGGGGGGAGGAAGTTGAGGGGGGAAGTATGAAACAGCAGTAGGAAGGCGCAGATGCGCGCGTGTGCGTGTGCATGGGTGTGTGGGGGACAGGTGGAAACGGAAGCCGTCGTGCCCCATCCAATCCTGGCGGCCACTCCCCCTTAACCCTCGACACTTACCATACGCCCCGCCCCCTCCCCCTCCCCCCGTTCACAACCCCCATATCGCTGATCCCAGTAGGTGGTTGTGTCGACTTGTTCCCCTCCCCCCTTCACCCCTTCACCCGCACCTGAACCCGGCCCTCCTCGTCAATGGCCATCACCACGGACCGCACCAGCAGGGGTTGCTGCCTGACCTGCCCCACCGCCGCCAGCAGCACCCGCACCGGGCTGTCCGGGCGGAGGGCGTCGTTCTCCCGCGCAGCCACAACCACCTGCTTGCGAAGCCGCTCGGCACCTGGGAGGGGTGTGTGGGTTGTGTGTGGGGGGGAAAGCCGGGGCGGGGAAGGTTTCGGAGGCAGGCCAGGCGAGGAGCCGAAGATGGGAGCCGAGGAAAGGAACAGACAGCAACACCGCGCCAGTGGAGTTTGCGTGTGCGTGTGTGTGTGTGTGTGTGACATCGTACCGACATGGGTGCGGTTGTTCGGAGATCGGCTTACACCCAAAAACAAACTAAGAAAGAAACAAAGGAGAGCATGTGGAAATCACTTTCCACCTGTCGGTGGTGATGATACTTGAGGCGGGTGGGCCCCCCCCTGCTATCTCCCCTTCCACCCACCCACTGCCCCTCAACCTTTCTACTTGCGAGAGCGACCTGCCCCCCGGCCCCCCCCGCCCCCCGCTCCTTCTCCTGCCTCTGCTGCCCCCCCCCCCCATGTGACTCTCGTCCCCCCCTGCGAGTTCCCCCCGGTGACCCACCGTTCACCAGGCTGACCAGGGCCCTGAGCTGCTCAGCACTCAGCATACCCCCCTTGGACGCCCGGGATAGACCCGACTCAGCGTCGCTGGTTTGAATACCGCCAAAGTCCAGGGAGGTGGCCCAGTCGTACTCCAGTACGGTAATGGCGCTAACGGAGGGAGGGACGCAGGGGGAAGAGTGGCGCGATGAGGAGCAGCTGCGGTCTTGGAGTAATGTGGGAGAAGGAGAAGTTAGTAAGGGAAAGCGGGTGTTGTCTTAGCTACTCACCGGGTCTGTTCCAGCAGGCGCAGAGTCTCTCTGGGGTCCTCGGGGACGTGCAATGCCCTGCATGCGCGCTTGCCAGCGTGGGTGCTTGCAAAGCGCGCGACTTGCTCACACAGCTTTGGCCATTCGAGCATGTCCAGGGTGGCCTGAAAGGCCGGCCCGATGACGTCGTAGCCAGCGACATCCCAGCCAGTTGACTGATTGCCAGCCGTGCTATTTCGTTTTGAGGTCGCCTGAACAGCAGTGCCTAAGCACCTTTGTTTACAGATTACGTTTGAAGCAGGGAGCAGCCAAAGTGGTTCTCTTAAGCAACGCGCTGCAAAGACAAGGCTTTGTGGTTTTGTAGCTGGCCGCGTTGGCCGACTGGAAGTCGGCCAACGTTTCAAAAGGTGATATTGCATTGACCGCAGGATTGAGCGGTATGGGGATCCATACCGCCCTACCTACAGTTCGGTGTGTCCGTTGGCTCCGAAGCCGAAAGCTGAGAGGCGGTCATGAGAAGTTCTTGATGGGTTTGCCCACAATCTCTTCTTTTAGCTCTTGAGCTTTCCCTTTGTTTTCTCCACCTTTGCCGGCAGCTGCTGCTGCCAGTTCTCGTTGAACCGTTCGAACTCTGATTTGGGCCTTGAGGGTCGGCGCAGCCGCCCGGGTGTCCAGCGAGATATCAACACCTATCTCCGCGTACTGGTTCCTTGCGCAGAGTGACTGCTTCAACTTCTGCGGTAGCTGCTCGACGAGCGAGGGCTTTGTCCGCACCAGGCGCCGACCCGGGCGGAAGAGCTTCTCGGTTTGATCCGCCTGCAGAAGCTCCCCCACGATCTCCTCTTTGAGCTCCTTCTTCAGCGTGACCCTTCAGGTATCAGCCGGGATAGCCTACCCACAAGTGACCCATGCATTTCGGTAAGTACAACAATGTCGTAACACAAGGCGAGTCGAAGCAGTTCATGCTGTTCTAGTTTCCAGTCAGTCACACCACGTATATTAATTGGACTATATGAAGCGGTTCATACCTCCGGTCGGCTTCCTAGGCATCCTGGGCGGTGTCCATTGTCGTGGCCCCCAGGGAGGGGGGTGCCCCTCCCGGGGGACCACCCTGCTCTCGCCCGCGACCGCTGCTGCTCCACGCTTGCCCACCGCCCGCTCCAGTCCCACCACCAATCGCTGTCGCATTTGCTCCCGTTGCTGAACCGTTGCATGCGTGGCTTGGCTGCCACGGTCCAGTGTATGGCTGCCACATCCCGTAGTTCTTCACAGCTATGTCAAAACTGTGTACCCAGTGGATGTCGTGTTTCTCAACATCCGCCCAGGTGTCCAGCCCAGGTGTCCAGCGAGATATCAACACCTGGGCTGGACACCATGGGTGAATCACCAGTCACCCTATGACCTTCATCAAGTCAGAGTTCGAACAGTTCAACCAGAACTGGCAGCAGCAGCTGCCAGCGAAGGTGGAGCAGATAAAGGGACAGCTCAAGAAGGAGCTCAAAGAGGAGATCGTGGGGGAGCTTCTGCAGGCGGATCATAGCAAGAAGCTCTTCCGCCCGGGTCGACTCCTGGTGTGGACAAAGCCCTCGATCGTTGAGCAGCTGCTGCAGAAGCTAAAGCAGTCGCTGCATGCAAGAAACCAGATAGGTGTTGATATCTCGCTGGACACCTGGGCTGGACACCTGGGTGGATGTTGAGAAACACGACATCCACTGGGTACACAGTTTTGACATAGCTGTGAAGAACTACGGGATGTGGCAGCCATACACTGGACCATGGCAGCCAAGCCACACATGCAACGGTTCAGCAACGGGAGCAAATGTGACAGCAATTGGTGGTGGGACTGGAGCGGGCAGTGGAGCAGCAGCGGTCGCGGGCGAGAGCAGGGTGGTCCCCCAGGAGGGGCACCCCCCTCCCTGGGGGGCACGACAATGGACACCGCCCAGGATATGTAGGAAGCCGGCCAGAGGTATGAACCGCTTCATATAGTCCAATTAATATACGTGGTGTGACTGACTGGAAACTAGAACAGCATGAACTGCTTCGACTCGCCTTGTGTTACGACATTGTTGTACTTACCGAAATGCATGGGTCACTTGTGGGTAGGCTATATCGGCTGATACCTGAAGGGTCACGCTGCTATCTTGCTGGGAAGTCTAGAGAACGGTTGCGTGTTTGTGTTTGGGTGCATTAGCATATCGCACGTCACGTTACTCACTGCACATCGACAGACGCACCAAAAGGCATGAACATTGTTTGGCTGAGACTTCATGGTGAAGCTCTGACTTTTGGAGGGAATGGTTTGGTTATCGGCGCCTGCTACACTGCATCGCTCGGATCTCAGGCTTACACAGCTAATGGTCTCAGACTGCAGGATAGTATAACATGACGCGTCATGGACAGGGTGTGGTCGCTGGTGAGACGATACCAGCAACCTGGGGACGAGGTTCTGTTGATGGGGGACTTAAACTCCAGGGTTGTGGAGATCTGTGAACTGCCAGATGTTGATGGGGATGCCGAAGTTAGCGGATTGTGTTCAGGCTGAGCTGGGGCAGGCCGACCTTTTGCGTTCTATTCCGCCACACCTTTCAGAAGACAAGACTGATAATGCGTTTAGACGGGCCCTGGCGACCTTGTGTCAGATAATGGAGATGGCTGTTTTGAATGGGTGTGTTCAGGGAGATTTGCAAGGGGTGTGTACTTTTTGGAGTCTGACAGGGAGCGGCAGCAGCATGATTGACCTCTTCATAACATCACCCACCCTTTTCTTCAAGATGAGCCAATTGCACATGCTAGATGTCCCTGTCACACTTACCGGTGAGAGAGTGGGTAGCCTCATGAGTGACCACTGCCTGGTGCCGCTTGAGTTCAGGGCACTGCACGGGGTTGAGATTATCCCAACTAGAAGGGGCAAACCTATGACACGTTTTGATGTCCAACACAAAGCCCGGTACAAGAGCATATTTGCCGCTGTTAATGCCCCCGCTGTGCAGCGCATTTCAGATGCTGTTAGCAAACTTGGAGGCAAACTTGATAGCACTGTGTTTGTCGAAGTGCTCACTCGAGCCTGTTCGTCGGTGTTGCTTTTTGCAAACAATGCCCGGTACCCAAGCGTGTCAGGGAAGAAAAGGATGCGCCCTGGTGGACCCAGGAATGTGCAGCGGCACGCAGCGACATGTTGCTGCAGAAGGCACATATAAGGGCACAGGGATTATTCGCTGATGAGCAGGCGCTGCATATCTTTACACTCCTGTGCTCACGCTACCAGAGGATTAGGAAGGAGGCAATGGCTGCCCATTGTGTGTCGCATTTTACCACATTTCTTGAGGAGTGCAAAGGGGATCCACACGCACTGTGGCGGCAACTCAACCAGGGGGCGAAATCTGATTGCCTGATACGTGACGGCAACAGCTGGCGCGACTATTTTGATGCACTGTACAACGACGAGATCAACGCTTTTAACGATGTTAGAGCGGATTGCATGATGAACCTTGTCAATGGGTGTGCACTTACATACCGCGTGGCTGGGCTGGTGAGAGCTGTTTACCCTGATATCAGAGAGTTGCTGCTGTGGCGGCCCTCAGTGCCCCGTTTACCTTGGCTGAGGTCATCGCTGCGCTAAAAATGCTGGGCAACAATAAATCCCCAGGACTCAAAAGGCCCCTGCTGTAGTAGCTGGTACACAGTACGGCTATACAAATGCACGCATAGCGTGACCACCAGCATCTCGAGAGGCCTTTTCAGCGGCCAGCTACTACATTTGGTCCCGATACCAATATAGCTGTCGCTCACCTGACGGGTCGACTGACTCTGTGGAAGCGTTGTGTTGACAGTCCTCGCCGAGGTAGGAAGGAGACCAACCCAGCGGCAAGCACTAGCATACATAGACGCGTACAAAGACAATCTGAAGTATCACACGC